TCAATTTTTTTTTAAAGGGAGACACAGTGTAGAGCAGGAACAGCTCCTGTATAGACTTTACCTTCCACTGAGGATCTCAATGCATTTAATGCAAATTCTGTATAATTTACCTTCATCATGTGCTTTCTGAGAAAGGAGAAGATAAGGGCAGGGGATTTAGCTCAGTGGTTCCACCACCTGCCTTGCAAGCGCAAGGTCCCAAGTTCGATCCCTGGTACCAAAATAAAAAGAGAAAAGAAATGTGAAAACACCTTTCTCCTTTCAGCCAGAACCACCACCTTCCAGCAATTTGCCAAAATGACAAACACAAAGGCAAAGAGGAGGGGAACCTGGTATATGTTCTCTAGGCCTTTTAGAAAACACAGGGTTGTTCCTTTGGCCACATACATATGAATCTACAAAAAGGGTGATATTGCAGACATCAAGGGAATGGGTGCTATTCAAAAAGGAATGCCACACAAATGTTACCATGGCAAAACTGGAAGAGTTTACAATGTTACCCAGCATGCTGTGTGCATTGTTGTAAATAAGCAAGTTAAGGGCAAGATACTTGCCAAGAGTATTACTGTGCATATTGAGCATATTAAACACTCAGAGTCAAGATAGCTTCCTGAAACGTGTCAAGGAAAATGATCAGAAAAAGAAGGAAGCCAAAGAGAAAGGTACCTGAGTTCAACTGAAGTCTGCCCCACCCAGAGAAGCACACTTTATGAGAACCAATGGGAAGGAGCCTGAGTTGTTGGAACCTATTCCCTATGAATTCATGGCATAAGCTGAGGATGTAGCTCTGCCATGCAGCACCTAATTAGCGGCTGAGTGCCCTAAGCCCTACTTCAAAATAAAAAATCATCCTGTGTTGTAAGGATGGTTTTCTTAATTGAATAGGTGTGTGGTGCCTTTACCTCAGAGAAACAAATATTTGGAGCAGATTCTCATCATACCCAGTTAATTGTGTCAGGTCTTTACTCTTCAGTGTTTTTCTTGCTGAAAGATGTGAGGTATTGTGCAGATGTATACCCAAATGGCCAAATACTTATGAAATACTTATATTGGCTAGAAGATCCTCTAAATCACCTTGGGGACAAGATGTACCAAAATAAACAGAAGTCAGTATATGGCATTTCAGTTAAATAAATTGTTTAAAGAACCCTATTGTATGTTCTAGTTCTGAATTGCTTTGACCATTTCTTGAAATGCTTGGAAAATATGTAAACACTAGAGATTTTGTTTAATTTATTATTAGAGCATGTTTTTGTAGTACATAATGATCACAGTCCTCATGGGAAGTTGGTGCATGTCCACAACACAATACCACAACCCACCCCCTTTTATTTAATCTCTCCAACAATAGAAGCTTAAATGTTTGCAGTTCTGGAGGCTAGGAAATACTACAACAAAGTGCTGGCAAATTTGGTGTCTGGTGAAGTTCTAGTCCCCTGCTTCAGAGATCATGCCTTGTTGCTGTCCATCAGAGGTACAGCACATGTACTATCCTCACCTGGTCAGAAGAGGGAAAAGCAGTGGGTTTGGAATGGGGCCTAGGCTAGTTTCCTTAAACCCTTTATAAGGGGACTAATAAGTGAATTATAAACAGCCTTACTCTTTGTCATTCAAACAGAATCCTCACTATGATATGCCTCAAATCTGTTTTATTTATATTCTATGTTTTCCATACTCTGTTGCTAACTTCTTAGGTTATATTTACCATATTTTTGTATCTGTGTTTAAATAGTGTTCTGTCTTATACTGGGCTCATCTTGACAATCTTTTTGTATTCTCAAGTAGTAAATGTTTTGGGTGAATAATCAAAAAAAAGAAGATAAATCTGAATTCTTCCTTTGGCGTAAACCTCTATTTCCTCAGACACTCTCAAAAATAAGTCTTTATTCCAAGTTGTCAGGAATCATATATGGGCTCCACATAATTAAAATAACTAATCTTTAAGAAAACAGTGAGGTAACTATTATAGATTAAATCTAAAATGTCCCCCAAAAGTCTCATGTGTGTGGAAGGTGACTGGATCATGGGGACACTATGGATTCATCAGTAGATTCATCCATTGGTGAGTTCAGTAGCTGAATGTGCTCTTCAGAGGTAGGGCCTGGTTGGAGGTTGGTTACTGGGAGCATGACCTGGAAGAATGTACACTTGTTCAAGGACTCTCTCTCTCTCTCCCTCTCTTTCTCTCTCTCTCTCTCTCTCTCTCTCTCTCTCTCTCTCTCT